CATTCAGAATCCAATATGTTGAAAGTTGTTAGCAAGAAGCATCTGAAGCATGGAAGAAAGCAGCTGGAAAGAAATAGAGATTAGGTGAATGGCTAGGTAAGCATTATGAGAATGTGGATTGACCAAAGTCCAGGGTTTAACTCCTGATAAAAAACTCGTGTAAGAGAAAATTATAAAATTTGCGGAGTGGTGGTAGTGCAAAAACTTCTTGTTATTAAAAATATAAAACAAATAATTACAGGAGAAACATTTACAAATGCTCAAAGCACACAGATAAGGAATGACAGGATGATAATTGCAGCTACTTTGCAAAAGTATGGAATTCATCAAAAACTGGTAGACAAATTTTCACCTGATACCTTCTTTCTCTGCCATGACAAAATAAATAAAAGCCATTAAGAATCAATATCATAGATGATAATGGTCCGATGCTAAAAACTAATAGCAATAACGTATTTGTAATCTTCAGCAGTGATTTTTATTGATCAAAGAACTTCTTAAATTGTCAATGAAGGACTAAATTTGATTTAATGGTCTAGATACACAGGAAGAATCAGGGAAACAAATATCTTAATCAAGGCAATACTTTTAAAAAGAAATACTATATTATTTGTCTATAATATTGTACACAGCTACAATAACACCAAGCATCTCTGAGGATAGTACTAGCAAAACTGAATTGGAAATCCTGATAATGAACTGTATAGTTATAGGTACCTTCTTGAATAGCCATCAGCTAAATATCAAAGAAGAATGTGATGCAGTAGGTGGTGAATCTTGTAATTACAATGTGGATCTTCACGAGTTTTATCATAATTACCCTAAGTGGTGGGTAGGCATTGTCGTAACTCAAATTTTTATCAAAAAAAAAAAATCAGAAATATAAAAATATGAAAATTTCCCTTTTCTTTGACTAATATATCTTTATTTTTGTTTCAGATGCTACATGCAAAAAGAAATTGGAAAATTCAAGAAGAAGAAAGAAGGGACTCAATTGAAGAAATTAAAAGTTGGAGGGGTGAAGTTCATCAACATGAATTTACAAACCCAAAACCCATCAAACCCAAACCAAAATTACCCAAAAACCCAAACCAAAATTACCCAAAAAAAAAACCAAACCCAAAACCCGTTTAACTAAAACCCAAAAACAAAAAGAGAAAAAGGGGAAGACATCTGGAACTTTGTCCTTTCCCCCCATCAATTTTTTTCATTTTCCTTCTCCCTTCCGAACCAGCCCTGCCTAGCCTTGCACCAGCCCGCGCCCAACGCCCCCCACGCACTGCGCCCGCGCCCC